ACCCCCTCTCGGAAGGATAATTCGTAACGGCGGTTAAAGGGAAACCAGAAGGAAGGACACAATCCATTTTGGGGGCCCCGTGAAGAAAGACGCACCCACATTACCACACATTGGCTTGCAGTCTTTGGGCAGGTCTCACTAGAGGAATCCATCAGCATCCTTGGGCAGATAGCTTTTCGCTGTAACTATGTAGTCAACAAAACACAGGTGAGTCATAATCAAAACCCGGTACACAAATGATTAACCCAGAACCATGTAAGGAACTAGAAAGGCGGCCGCAACTAATTCTGGCTGGGTCTTTCCCTTACTAACCTTCACTTACCCAGGTTTTGATTGTGACACAGGCAAACAGAAACATCTTCTCAGGGAACATGGGCTTTGCCGACAAATACAGAAGCTACGCAAGGCGGACTGTTTCAGGAGGCTTTGAGTTTCAAAAACGACTGGCATCAAACGACTGGCATCAAACGACTGGCATCAAACGACTGGAATCAAACGACTGGCATCAAACGACTGGAATCAAACAACTGGCATCAAACGACTGGAATCAAACTACTGGCATCAAACCACTGGAATCAAACCACTGGCATCAAACGACTGGCATCAAGGGAACGCTAAGGCCCATGGAAACTACCCACTAAACACTAGGCTAAAAAGCCAAGGAACCGAAGGGCGAGCCACCAAATTGACAGAAATTTAAATGTGGTGTTACTGAGTAGCCGAGGGAGAACACAGAAGTCCATCCAAAGCAACCGGCCGGCAATTGGCACGCAAGTTTCCAAGGACCAACGTGTGAAGGGCACGAAATGCCACTTGCGACGATGCCGAAAGAGACCCTACTCGGGCAAGGATTCAAAACGCCAGGAAAGGGCACCGGGAGGTGTAACAAAGGCTTAGGCTTGTGCCAGAAAAGCACAAGCTTGATGGGTCAGACGCAGGGTAGACGCGAAAGCAGAGCCGCTCAGTGTGGGCTATTGCTGGGGTGATCTTTGATTTCTTTTCGAACTGCTTTCTGTTTCTGGGTCTGGCGGAGCTGAGTCGAGGTGGCTGGCGGGATAACAAGGTTGCAGGAGCATCAAGTAGCCCAACTCCCAGCTCCCTTGATGCATTGAGACCTGCTCAAGAGCCACCATCCCAGCATGTCACATGTCCTTTGCTTCGTGTCGCCTGTGGCAAGGTGATCGGCTACATGAGCCAAGCATCACATTGACAGCCCCATAAGCGGTCATGGGGCTTGCCTCTGTGGGCTTCCTGCGATCAAATCGCCTCACCAAAACCGACTGCGTAGAGACAAGCACCAAAGAAGGGCACCGAGACTGAAGAAGCGATGCAGCAATGTCCCCGTAGGAAGAAGTTCCCGAGACAGTGAGACAGAGCCAGACCCACCGAGGCGTCCAGAAGGGTCGCAGCCTGAGAGAGCCGAAGCCGCGGGAGGCAATACGAAGAACCTCAGGGCCTGAGAAGAAGCGAAGAGGGAGATTGCACGGAGAAAGCTCCCGAAGCAAAGCCGGAGACCGACACAAAGGCGAGCGGCAGGGAGTGAGCTGGAGAGGCCGAACCAGTTGGAGAGCCAGGAAAACCGCGAGTCAATCCAGTGAGGCAAGCCTGAGGACCCAAGCTGCGCAGGCCTTCACTCCAAAGCCCAGCCATTCCACCCGCAAAAGGGTTAGACACCTCCGCCCGTCCCGTCCCCGCCCCGTGCCATCAAATGCGCCGCCGCACGGCCCCGCTTCCCGAAGGCCCAGCCGCGCATGGCCACGATGCGGTTCCCCTCGAAGAACATGTGCTCCGTGCGCACCAGGCCGATGCCCTCCGCACCGAACTCCTTGGCCTCGGGACTCGGGGTGCGGGTTGAAAACGCGGGGGAAAAAAACAAGCGACAAATGGGCCGGGCCATAGGCCTTTCAATTCGGGGCAACAGGGGAGGGGTGGTTTGGGGGTTCAATCCTATGAGAGTTGGGATCTCTTTGGAAATGAGCTTGCTTTTCAAGAGTCACTAGATGTGGATGCGTAATGTTTTCGAGTTGGTACCCCTTTCTTGTGGTAAAGGAAATCGACCGGTAGGGTGTCGGTTTCTCCCAACAAAATTCTAACGGTAAACATGGGGTGGGGGAGGGGTCTTGTCCAAGAGTCCAAAGGTTCTTCCCTGCAAATCGGCATGCACTCCCCAAAAACGGCCCCCGCCAAGAAGGAGCTTCCTTTTGAGGGTTTTCGAGGGCTCCATATAAATCTGCATAGGTGTATTCCGGTCAAAAACACTGCGCGTGAACCAAGGGGCAATTCCCCTGAGCCGGGTGCCCCTGGAAGTGACCTTCCCAGTTCAACCGGAAAGCAGGTTGCAAACCAGTCAAAGGCCATCGGGTGAGAGACGGAGATCCAAAGATGACAGGATGTGGGTTTGTCTTACCACACAAATTGTGAACGCTTTTGGGATGATGCGAAAGGGACCTCAAGTTGGACCGGATTGCATGAAATTCGATTAGGGACCCGAAATGATGGACATCATGCAGGGTGCTTCATGTCCACCAACTGCTTTTGAGGTGGTTCCAACTCTTCAAATTCACTTCGCCATTTTTGGAAAACACCAATAAATTAAGGCGTCGAAGGCTCTGCAAAGAATCGCCCCCCCTTGCCGGACTTTTGAAGTGCTCTGAATCATTCTTCATGGGGACAGAATGAAGTCCTAACCGGTTTCAGACCTAAGACCCAAAGACCTTCCCACAACCATCACTTCGGGTCTTTGGTGGTGTCTAGGATTCCTGGTTCTTGGAAAACGGTTGAACACACTTACATGGGCCTTTGAACATCACCCAACCAAAAGGCAACTCACTGATTACGGCCTCAGAATGTGCAGTTTTAAAGCAACCAAATTTGGGGAAACGTAGGGAGCCCCTGTTTCTACAGTCCCCACACATCGCGCGCCTGGCGCGCGTCGTTGGGCGTCTCCGCGTTGGCTCTGACTTGCAGCGTGCGCACCTCGTCAGCCCAGGCCATCACCTCGTGTTTCACGCAGGGCGCGTCTTTTTGTTGGGACCCATCTTCGGTCCCCTATAGTCTTTGTCTATTTTAGGTCCCCCTACAAACTCATGGACCCCAGGGTCCGACTCGGGACATGGGGTCTCAAGCTCCATTCTCACTGCCGCGCGTTTGCCAGAAAAAGCCCAGGGCTTGCTATGCCCAAGGAACGGAAGGGACCCGTGAACAAGTCCAAACTCTGTTTTCAAAGCAAAAGGGCTTCCTTGACCTAGAGAACCGCTTGCAATTCTCATATCAAACTGTTTGCAAGAGATTAAATTATTCCGAAAGGGCAACAAGGGCGTCTTGGCCTCTTATTCTGAGACAGGCCCAAAAAAAGGGTGGTTGTTCTTCTGGTTTCCTTTCAAGCCAAAAACCAGGGTACCCTCAAAATCCAAACCCATATAAATATGTATGGGCCTAACCAATTATTATAAGAATAATGGGGTCGTGGGTACTTCAAAACCAAGTTTAGCCATGATTATACGAACATGTATAACTTTTTGCCTCCTTGCATTCCTCCATTTGCTTACGCCCTGGAAACAAATCAAAAACACAATTATAGGTCCAGTGATAGACTCCCTTCAAAACCAACAGGTTGAAAAACACAACTTATTCTCAACGGGGTCACTGGATTTCCCCTCCAGTTGCAATGTACGAGTAGGTTCCATTCAAACAATCGCCTCTTGAGGTAAGGGTGTTTCTTTTCAGGAGCGCTTTTTTAAGCAAATGCCTGAACCCGAGAGAACTACCCATAAAGAAGTTGGAATTCCCCCATTCCGTAGATTTTGGGGTTGCAACGACCAATTGTCAAGAAAATCGCCATAGTTGGGTTGCAATACCCCTTTTTTAAATTGAAATTCCATCCTGTTGGGCCGCCATAGCCCATTTACTTGGACTTTTGGGAGTTGACCTGGATCATTATTTTGGTCCCCAGCCACAAACATCCCCATCCCCTCCCATCCCCTCATCCCCTCCCCCGCCCCCCGGCCGCTTCTTTTCGGCCCAGCAGCCGTGGCGAAGGCTCCGGAGAGCTGCGGCGGCACCGTGGCCACTTCTCCCAAGATCACCTCCCCGGTGCCCCCGTCGATGGTCACCACCTGGCCCTCCTAGCGCCGGTGCCGTGTGGCGCGTGTGGCGCGTGTGGCGCGTTGGCCGGGGTGTCGCGCGGGTGGCGCGGGGCGGCCGATTCGCTGCGGACGTGCCAAAGGAGACTGGAGCAAAAACACAAAGAAACAAAGGTGAGTAAATAGATGTGCTAGTTCGAGAATGGTTACCATTAAAGACATGGACAATTTAGTGAGGCACCCCCCGCCCACCCGCAAGCAGTTAATGCACCCAAACTGAAGCACCCAAATGGTGGTCTCCTTTTGGAGGAGCCCTTTCGGGTTCATTCTCCAAACCCTTGGTGATTCCCTTGTCATTTGAGATTTGAGCAGAGTCAGGTGCAGTTGCCCGTTTGGACATGTGAGGGGTTCTATGCACTGGACATTTGGAACGGTCCGGTGTTGGTTTTTTCGGGGCCAGATAGATAGAGCTGGGCAAGCGATAGATTCAAAGCCGAAGACCGCGTCGAAACTCAAGGGTCGGATCTCCGCACCTAAGCTTAGGTGTCTTGCTTGAGGATCTCCAGTCTCGGGGTGGCTTTGAGGGAAGCCAAAAGGCAACCCGGTGAGTTTCGTCCTCGTAAAATATTTTGAGCCAAACCCATGGGGCAAGGGACTGCATATGAAGTCCCGGCCCCTTTTTAGAGGCAACACCTCGTTCTCCGATGTCAAGATACCTTTCACTTCACGGACTGCTCTTGCTCGCTGAGCTCACGAGAACTTGCAGGTCACTTCATGTTAATCCGGTCACCCTAAAAAACCGGACCCGTTCTACTCGCGGGGTGTCGGGCCCCACAAAAGGGATCCCATGAACGAGTTTGCTTGAGTCGATGCTTCTCGCCTGCACGGTGACGTCCCCGGCAGTAAAGCACTTGGCGGTGTAGTCCACTTGCACCTCCCAGGGGCTGAAAGACACATCCGAAGCCGTATTCAAAAAAGAGCAACATTAAAAAGCAAATAGTCTGCAAAAGTAACAAACTGCACAAGAAGTCATGCTTGACGCTTAAAGAAAAATGGGCATCGGTCAAAATAGCTGAAGCACCCTTCCTGTCGATTTCACTTCAAACACCCCCAGAAAGGGTACCTCGAAAAAATGGTGGTCCTCCTATGTGCTGGGTTGCTCTTCCCGAGCAAATGGCCGATCAGCTTTTGCAGGCTTCATGGAAAAGCCATCCATTTTTCCGCAGGGTCTCTCCGGGGCGATTCGGTCACAAAAACTTTTGGCCACGGCGCCTCCCCAGCCCCTGCCACGCAGGGCCGGCCCATGCCCCGCGCCACCACCGCGGCGTGGCTCGTCATGCCGCCCCGCGTCGTCAGCACGCCCTCGGCCGCGTGCAGGCCGTGGATGTCGTCCGGGCTGGTCTCGATGCGCACCAGCAGCACCTGGACGTCCAAACAGTCAAGGCCCATAGCTGGGCTTCACAGGAATTCATTCCTGGTTCTGTTTCCATATTTGGTCTGTACCCAGTATACCATAGTTTTGGAGGGGACCCAAACAAATCTGCGTTTCTCAAAATGTTGGACGCCGTTTGGGTTGGTGGCTAAAGGGAAGGCAACCAATCCATCTGTAGGCCTCCCCCGCATCAACCCTGTTGTCATCTATGGCCCCAAGTTCAAACCACAAGGGGACAAAACGAAATAGACAGACAGTAACCACTAAGGGAAATCCAGCCAAACATGGAAAAGCGAAAACCGCAAAATAAGCTCGAGAACCCCCAAAAAGGAAAAGAACCGCACCGCCCCCGCCGCGCGAGCAAGCGGGACACAGAGACAGGCCCTGCCTTCTCCCCCTGCTTCAAGCGCCGCACCGCCTCGTCCGCAGTGAAGACCACTTTGCCGGCCGCCGCGCCCGGGGAGGCCGGAAGCCCCTGACCGCCAGAGAGGCCGAATGGGCCGACTGGAGGTGTGTCAAAATATGGACCCCGAAAAATTTGGTTGAACCCCTACATTTTGGAACTGTTTGGTGGGTCTCCCCTAAACAATAGCCAGACTTGGCGGTGAACTCGGCAAGAACCTGGGAGAACTGATCCAAATCGGCCATACGCCTCGGATATCCGGGATGCTCCCAAGATCCCACAGAAAATGTGCCCCTGGAAAAACACAAGCCGAATGTCCTACAGTCATGGTTTGATCCCCGACTCCTGCAACGGAAGGTACCTCAAGGGGGGGGGTCGAAAGTCGAAAGTTTATCTGAAAGGGGATTCGGGTGGAGCAAAGCAACTACAGCAGTGGCAGAAAAAACGGATGAATCACGGGGGCTTGCCAGTTCCCTGTAAGTCACCTAAAACAAAATCAGGGTCTAACAAACCCCATGAAAAGCATGGATTTCCCCCCCCCCCAAATGCTAGGTTTTCTGGTGGTGTTCGTCTTTGAAACAACGCCAGGCTCAAAGCAAGGCCCACCCCCTTTTTGCCGTATGCCCCGCTTTCCTGCCTTGGTGATGACCTGCTTCTGGGCCTGGGGTCGGATGTCCAGCTCGGTTTAAGGGCAGACCAAGAGAAAAAGTGCGGTTTGTAGGAGTCCCATGCCATATTTTGACACCTACCTTGTGTGTCTCAAAAAAAAAGAGGATTTGACCTCGGGTATCTCGAAATACAGCTTGGACCCCCCCGCTCCTCCCCAGGTTGTCCCTTGGATTTCCCTTCAAGCCGACCCCAGACTGAGCGGATTTTGCTTGGTTGACCTTGAAAAAAGAGCAACCAAATCATGTTTTGGCAGTTAAGTGGGGATTTCAACCACTAAACCGCAATAAGCCGAAATGTAGCATGCTTCCCAACCGTGTTTGGACACGCGGCCTGGGGGTCCAGGGTGGGGTGCAGCAGCTGGTCGATGAGCTCCGGCTTCAGGCGCATCAGCGCCTGCGACTTCGAGATCAGACCTGAGCTCTCGCGCAAGCGCCGGGTGCGGGTTCCGCTGGTGTTGGGGTCGGTGGGGATCCACGGAGAAAAAAAAACCGCGGCGCCGGGTGGCTCCACTTGTTTGAAGGGGAAACACCAGCGCCGGAAAAAAAAAATAAGGGAAGAAAAACGGGCACCACTCCAGGTCCAGGAAACTAAACTGGAAAACCAAGCGGGTCAAACAAGTGATTCGCTCTGCAAATGCCAAACCACCTCACAAACGGATCTCGGTAGACTTGCCGGGTCCCTGCCCCGGCCCTGATCACTGAGATTTGGGGCTGGGTCCAATGGCGGAACGGGTCCTCCATGTCAACCAGCAAATCCCCAAAGTCGCCTTGGTCTCTCCTTCCGGTTTGCAACTTTGTCTATTCCTGGCCCACATCACCGGAAGCATAAAACCAGAAACATGTGTTCAACATCGGTTTCATACCTCAAACCGGGGCGACGTGGTTTCTTCGCGTCCCTTTCGGTTCTCCAAGCACTCCGGCCTTCCTGGGCCATGTCTACGGCAATCTGCAGCGCTGCATGGCCCGTGCGCTTGCCCGTGCGCGTCTGCAGCATGTAGAGCTGGCCTTGCTGGATGGTGAACTCGACGTCTTGCATATCCTGCAAGCTCACACGACTAAAACCCTTTGACAGTGATGGGCCCTATGTGGTCCGTGTCCATGGGCAAACCCACAAAAGCGAAACCCCCTTTTCAACCATGCCCGCCAAACTACTCCAAACCAACCACTCGAATGAAACCACATGAAGCTGTGTGCTCCAAAGGCCGCTGCAAGCCTCATGAAGACCAAATGAGGCTAGCCCGGTGTTCAGAGACAGAGCTGCCATCTCGGATGCTCGTTAAAATCAGACAGAGACAAACAGAAGACCACAAAGTAGGCGCCGCCGGGTCTGAACTGCAACGCTAGGTTGCTACCATCCTGGTTTGGGTGCGCTGCCGTTGCGCCACGGGCCTTTTACATTGGAGCTGAGGACCCTGTCGGTGATGTTGGGGATGCGTGGTGATTCATCCTCATCCTCATCCTCATCATCATCATCATCATCATCATCATCATCGTCGTCGTCGTCGTCATCGTCACCACCATCACCATCACCATCACCCCATCGCCACCACCACCACCATCATCATCATCAGATGTACCACACGCATAACGGAACCAATACTGGGTCTCTTCCCACTTCCCAAGCGTGGTGTGGTCATCACTCTGAGATTTTCCTTAAGAATGTGGACTTTTGGGTTTGTCTGAAAACAGGGGACCCTCAAAATGGTTTTCTTGTGGTTTACCTTTAGAACCAACCACAAATTGAGTCCTCAAAGGATAGATACACCCCTTAAAAGAATTCAGCTCCCAGGAATTGACTTCCTTCTCACATGGGCTTGAAGCCTACCAATCTCATGAAAACAGGTACCGCCGAAATTGGCCGCGGATTTTTGCGGGTCCTTGTAGTGTGTCTCCAACTGCTGGCGCACCGCGCACAGCTCACGGAAGATGCTCGGCATCGTCTCCTCCAAGCTCGGCAGCTCGCTGCCGTGGCTCTTGCGGGCCTTGATGGTGAGCTCCTCACGTCTTTTCGTTGGGGGTCCCCTTTTCTGAGCTGTCCTCAGATCCCCCGCTAAAAGTGGACAACTTTTAGTGGGCTAAATGGAAAACCCCACTACACACTAAAAGAGTAAAAAGCTAAGGGGATGGCGAGCCACCAAGTTTTGGTTGGTTTTAAGGGCCGGAAGAAACACCCGAAATCCATTCTCGGGGGTGCCGAAATACGGTCGGACATTCTCGGGCGGCCAGTTGGAACCAACCCCTCATTCTCACAACATGGTATGGGATAAATATGGGCAAGTTACCACTCACAAACTGGAAATACGGAACTCCAAGTAAGGGACATTCATCGTGGGTGAAGTTGCTTTCCATAAGCAGTTAGAAGTGGAGATGAGCCAAGGTCAAATGTTGGCACTGCAACCTCAGCTTTTCCTTGCCACGTCTATCATGTGTAGTTGTGGCTTCTGTCATTGATAGGTTGTGGCCCGCATGTAGTAAATCTGAACGTTTGAGTGAGGTCCAGTAGTCACCCACAACTGTTTGGACTTAATGCTTCTGCTATGTTGTGCAGGAAACAAAACAATATGAAGCCCTAGTTCAAGAGATTACAGGTCTTGGAGTCTAGGCCAGCAAATTTATTGACACATGTGGTTGCTTCCAAGAAACAGGTATGGGTCAACACAAGCATTATACAACACAACAACATGTAAGGTGAATATAGACGGTATAAGTCCATTACCAGCTGGTTTCCCCTCCTACTGTGCTTTGAGTCGAAGTGCCAGCAAAAAAAAGTTGACTCGCTCGAAGTGCGAACATCAGGGGAGAATGCACAACGACAGACTCACCATTGGTCACACCCCCTTCTCGTAGCCGGATCATGTAGTTGCCTTGTCTCGGAAATCAACCAACCCCCTTTCCAACTCACAATGATTTTCGTGTTGGCATGTCCTGCCCTCTAAAGTAAACCTCATGGAACTGACCCCCAACTCTCACTTGGACCCCTCGAAACACAACGTTGCCATTGGGCACACACATGAAGCTGAAAAAGTGCTAGCGGGAATGGGGCAGATTCCTGTGGCAAGTCATCCCCAAGTCCCTTTGCTGCACCCAAAACCTTCCCTATCCTCGATTCGCTTAAGTCTCCAGGAAACAAATCTATTTCCAGTAGTGATAGATTAAAGTCCAGTAGTGATAGATGTTCTTTAAATCCAACCAGGGAGTTCTTAAAACTCTCCCTACGCAAACAGGGGCGTCATTCTCCGAATCCCTGGCTTCCATCCCTGGCTGCGTCTGAAGGCGTCCTGAGGTGTGCGGATGCCCGCCACCACGTCCTCCCCCTGGGCATTCACCAAGAACTCCCCGTAGAAGTCCTTCCGCCCATCGGAGGGGTTCCGTGTGAAGGCGACGCCTGCGGCACAGTCCGCGCCCATGTTCCCGAAGACCATGGCTTGCACGTTCACCGCTGTGCCCCAGGTCTCCTGACAAACCACATGAGAGTACGTGATTTGAGGCTGGTTTGAAGGGAAACCAAAATGGCCACCAAAACAATTTTGGGGTTCTCCCTATATTGACGAGCTATACCCATGCGGAGCATCCCCTGGCCAAAATTGAATCAACCTCCCGCGACCTGCCCGCAACCTGCCCAGACCCGCCCCAATTCCCCCGGCTTCGGCACGTCCGAATTACAGAACCTTATACACGGCATCCCCAGAGAGGGAATGTACGGTTGGGGCACGTCCCCAAAAACATGCAATGCGTTTCCTTGGTAGCCTGGACTCAGGTCTGTGACTTGTCTAACTCATGATACAATGATTCCAACATCATAATCAAAAGCCTGACATCATGCTTACTACAAACAGAAGAACCCTCGTCATCATCGCCATAGTCACCACCATCGTCATATCGTCATCATCGTCACCGTGACCGTGACCGTGACCGTGACCATCACCATCAGAATCATCATCATCATCATCATCATCATCATCATCATCATCATCATCATCATCATCATCGTCGTCGCTGTCATATGTGCTCAATCCTCGTCATCCTCCTCAACACCATGACAAGAAATATGCTCATCGTCAGCATCATATCACTTCCCGAGTGGCCTTCTGCTTGTCATTGTACGACCAACGCTGCTTCTGTTTTTGTAAGCAAGGAACACATCATCAAATCCCACACGCGCCACCTAAACCACCCGCTCTGGATTCAAAGTGTCCAGACAAGTAGTGCGTCTTTCCAAGGACTGTTGTCAGCTTCTGTTTACGAGGAAGGACAAAAGCTTGAGAAAGAGGTCCCGACCGCCATTTTGAAGCCCCTTCACGCTTACACCCAGAAATGTTTTGACCGGGTGTGTCAACAGAGGGAAACCCAAACTGGTGAGTTCCTCTTCGCTTCCCCTGAAACCAAGCAAAAGGTTCCCCAACACACCCAAACCACCTTCCCTGATTTACCTTATCAACCAAACAAGCAAACACTCATGTTGGGGACTCCCCCCAATTGAATATGGGTCAAAATACAACCACCAGGGGACCGCAGGGTTTAGTCCTTCTTTCCATTTACGAGGGTTCCATATGGGGTATCTATTTTTGACCCACAGCCATTGGACACAAACCGCAGATGTTGTTTTTGCCAAGTCTCCGGGATGTCGTGGAGGTGGCGATAGGTCTTGGCCCGCTGATTCATCCAGGAGCCAAAGACTGCCCCGATCGCGCCCCAGAGCTGCTCCTAACAAAATGACTAGCTGGTGCGATAGGTAGGGAATGAGGCAATGAACCCAGGGGTCCCCTTAAAGGAAACCACCAGTTGGATGGCGTTTATAGGGGTCATTCCAACTCATTCCCTACTTTTCGCACCAGCAAGATGAGTGTCTCAGACTAGGGGACCCCCAATATAGCTTCGGCTTTCCTTGTGGTCTCCCTCACAATTTTCAGCCCAAAAAGGCACCAAACCAGATGACTCTTGGGACACAGAGTCCTGCTGTTGGGATTGAGGAAGCCATCTATCAACCAAACCAACAAATAAAACCACCTGCCAAACACTACCAGGATGGATGAAACTGGTCAAGCCACTGCCAACATAATTGGACAAGCCACTTACCGACATGCGGGGCCGGCGAAATCGTGATTTCGGCGGGGTCGGCGATTGGCCGCCCTCCTCCGGATCGTCCGGAAAGTCTTCGCCCCAGAAGAGCTCTTGACTCACCACCTCCTTGTAATCCTCACAGGGCTTGGACTCACACCCCCTTGAGAGTTTCCAGACCAGGAGCCCCAGACCACGCCGCGTTGAGGATATATCAAGAGACACGCGCAGTTGGACGAACACCCTCATTTGAGAGAGAACTGAGGGGTGAAACTACATGGCACAACCCTCAAGTGGATGGTCCAAATCCACGCCAGGCACCAGTTGCTAGGTGGCTTGTCTCAGATAGAGCTTCATGCATCACAACAGGTGCGGGGTCCACAGTATAGTATGGGCCTGCAAAGGGGATGACCAAACCAAACTGGGGAGTTTTGCTGTCTAGTTTTCAGCCAAGTGCAAGTACCGCAAAAAGAAACTCATCTCAAGGTGGCCCAAAAGTTGTTGTTTCAACAGGCTGGACATTTATCTCAGCCCAAATGAAGTGGGTTGAATGGGAAATGAAGGATTCCAAAAAACATACCAACGCAACACGATCAGTTAAGACTGGACATCGTGAACTTCCTTGCTGGACCCACTTGTTGGACTCCTTGTGTGTTTCATCTTTCTTTCTGAAACTGCCTGTGCAAAATAAATACATTGAGGATCTATGTCCACCGACTGTTTGAGGGTGTTCCGCATCAAACATCATAGTTACATGGATTTGTGTGAAACTTGGAACCCAGACTGGTCTCCTATGGAACATGACCCAAAGAAAAGTACCCCCCAAAACAGGATACGTTTATATGTCTGTGGACACAACCAGTTGAAGTTGTCCACATGAGACTCCTTTTGGTTTCAAGGGTCCTTGTGTTGCACATAGCCATGTAATCTGTTCACGCCAAACCAACCACGGACTCAGCCATCCCCAATCCCACGGACCCCGCCCTAAACACACCCACCCTCAACCCTAAACCCTAAACAGACCCTACACCAAGCGGGGGTGCAAAACAAGGGCACCTTTTTTGCCTGCTATTCAAGGGGTCACCCAGATGGCCATGGGTCAAAATCCAAATCGTACCCCCAGTGAACATCCGATTCAATCCCCACTAAAATAGATTCTAAAATGGGTGGCGAATTCACCTACCCCCAAAATGGTACCATTGGTTAAAAGCAACCCTAGGTCCTCCAGTAGAGAGGTTAGAATAAGGGTACCTTTTTTCTGTAGTCTATTTTAGTAGGGGAACCCTCCCAACCAAAAAAGTGGGTGAGAAAGGGCACTACTGGACCAGGTCTTCCATTTGCTTAAGCCGCCTGCAAAAATTAAAATATGTCCAGTAGTGGTAGATTCCCTTTAAAACCAAGAGGGGAAAAAAATCTTAAGCAAAGAGGACAGATCTGTCTGTCAGGTCCCCCTCCTTCACCAGCTGCTCGAGGTCCTCGACCGGCAGCTCATGATCCGCCTTCACGCCCCGCCGCGCCTTCGCGCGCTCCAAAAGCCTCCGGCCGGGACCAAAATGGGGGGTCAAGGAGAGTTCTCGATTGACGTTGGAGGGGGAGCAACAAGTTGAATTTTACAAGATGTTTCTTAACAACAACCATGAGTTTCCCTGGATGGGTGAAAATGAGGCCAAGGTGAAACAACAGAAACAACCCATGACAGCTCGGCCGTTTGACAATCCTTGTGTCAAACACTTTTGGAGTCACCTCACAAAACAACGGCCCCAGCTCAACAAGAGTCACAAGCAAAAACCTGGCAGTAAAATGGTCTGACCAAACCTACGTAATTAAGAACCAAACGGCTGGATATGTGTGACTCAGAAGTGAACAACTGTTTATTGTGATTCACCAACCGAATATCAGGGATTCCTATGATACAAACCTTTATAACGTCGCACCCCTCCGTCCCCCCTCCAATAAAAAAGGAGAACAAAAGACGTAGCTATCCTGTGCTGTGCTCAGTTAAGACAGTACCCATTCACTACTCTGGATGGTTGCGAAATCCATTTTGCACCAAGGAGAAACCCTGGAATGATTCGATCCCCCTAAATTTCCGTAACAAACACATGGTTTCGCCCATGGTTTCAATTCGCGGTGTGAAGTGGATCACTCATCCATCCACTAATGTTGACTCCATATTAATCACTTTAGTGCATGAATAGGGGGGTGCTTTTCCCTGGGTTTAGTGGGCAATTCCTCCACTTTGGAAGGGCCAAAACCAATCTCTATGAATGAACTGGTTGGTTGATTGATATGGGGAGTCGTAGTTTCCTGCATCCCTTCGATAGCTCAGAAGCTTCTCGAAGTATTTGAGCTCGATACCCAGCACCACGTCCGAGTACATCCTTGGCTCGGGTAAAGGACCCGGGCTGCTTGGGATTGTGTCTGTTTTTATTGCATTTCTGGCGTTGTTTGGACTTGAGATGAATTGAACTTGTGCTTGCTTGCTTGCCTGTCTGCCTGCCTGCGTGCCTGCCTGCCTGCCTGCCTGCCTGCTTGCCTGCCTGCCTGCCTGCCTGCCTGCTTGCTTGCCTGCCTGCCTGCCTGCTTGCCTGCCTGCCTGCTTGCCTGCCTGCCTGCCTGCCTGCCTGCTTGCTTGCCTGTCTGCCTGCCTGCGTGCCTGCCTGCCTGCCTGCCTGCCTGCTTGCCTGCCTGCCTGCCTGCCTGCCTGCCTGCCTGCCTGCTTGCTTGCCTGCCTGCCTGCCTGCTTGCCTGCCTGCCTGCTTGCCTGCCTGCCTGCCTGCCTGCCTGCCTGCTTGCCTGCCTGCCTGCCTGCCTGCCTGCCTGCTTGCTTGCCTGCCTGCCTGCTTGCTTGCCTGCCTGCTTGCCTGCCTGCCTGCCTGCCTGCTTGCTTGCCTGTCTGCCTGCCTGCGTGCCTGCCTGCCTGCCTGCCTGCCTGCCTGCTTGCCTGCCTGCCTGCCTGCCTGCCTGCCTGCCTGCCTGCTTGCTTGCCTGCCTGCCTGCCTGCCTGCCTGCCTGCTTGCCTGCCTGCCTGCCTGCTTGCCTGCCTGACTGCTTGCCTGCCTGCCTGCTTGCCTGCCTGCCTGACTGCTTGCCTGCCTGCCTGCTTGCCTGCCTGCCTGCCTGCTTGCCTGCCTGACTGCTTGCCTGCCTGCCTGCCTGCTTGCTTGCCTGCCTGCCTGCCTGCTTGCCTGCCTGCCTGCTTGCCTGCCTGCCTGCCTGCCTGCCTGCTTGCTTGCCTGCCTGCCTGCCTGCCTGCCTGCTTGCCTGCCTGCCTGCCTGCTTGCCTGCCTGACTGCTTGCCTGCCTGCCTGCTTGCCTGCCTGCCTGACTGCTTGCCTGCCTGCCTGCTTGCCTGCCTGCCTGCCTGCTTGCCTGCCTGACTGCTTGCCTGCCTGCCTGCCTGCTTGCTTGCCTGCCTGCCTGCCTGCTTGCCTGCCTGCCTGCTTGCCTGCCTGCCTGCCTGCCTGCCTGCTTGCTTGCCTGCCTGCCTGCCTGCCTGCCTGCTTGCCTGCCTGCCTGCCTGCTTGCCTGCCTGACTGCTTGCCTGCCTGCCTGCTTGCCTGCCTGACTGCTTGCCTGCCTGCCTGCCTGCCTGACTGCTTGCCTGCCTGACTGCTTGCCTGCCTGCCTGCCTGCTTGCCTGCCTGACTGCTTGCCTGCCTGCCTGCCTGCTTGCTTGCCTGCCTGCCTGACTGCCTGCCTGCCTGACTGCTTGCCTGCCTGACTGCTTGCCTGCCTGCCTGCTTGCTTGCCTGCCTGCCTGACTGCCTGCCTGCCTGACTGCTTGCCTGCCTGACTGCTTGCCTGCCTGCCTGCCTGCTTGCTTGCCTGCCTGCCTGACTGCCTGCCTGCCTGACTGCTTGCCTGCCTGACTGCTTGCCTGCCTGCCTGCCTGCTTGCTTGCTTGTTTCACCGTCGGTATGTGTTTCCTATGTGACTATCCATACATTGCTTCGCTTTGGCTTTGATGGGCCAAGCTCAGCCTCCCTAAACGCCCCGCAGCAAATACTCGATCCCTGGCTTCAGGGACCCAACCCCCCAAACTTCCAATGGCCTCCCTGCCCAAAGACCCAGTCACAACAAGGCTTTGCTTGGCCTGGCTGATTGAGCTCGTAACCCTAGGTCTTTCCGGGTGTGGTTTCTGGGACTCCCAAATGGAGGTTATCCTGAACACCAATGTCAATCTGCAAAAAACTACCTGAGCAGCGCCTGACACCTGAGCAGACCTTGGGTTTTGCCAAGGACACCCAATTAAGCCGAGTACTAGAACCACCAACTGAAACTGGCCGGCCCTGTTTGGGGTCAGAAAGCAGCGCCCGAAGCTCTGGTGTTTTTTGCGCATTCCTGCTGTATCTCATTGCTTCACGGTTTGAACATGTCCCAAAGGCTTAGACATAGCTTTTATCTATGACCCCCCCAATTCAGCCAGGTACTAGAACCACCAACCCAAAATTACTCTTTTTTGGGGGAGTTTGAGGGCGCTCACCTGATCATTCTCTGCTGTGCGTCTGCACAAAGCGCCGGTAGGAGTCGAAGGCAAAGCGCCGATCGCCGCTCCGCTTGGCCAGGGCCTGCCGCGGGCTTGGAGTTCATATGGAGGGTTTCGATCGAAATTCATCGGTTTCACCACCGAACTCGGAAACCCAATGGATGATTTGATTCCCATTGGAAATACCAACAAACGCCATGGTTTCAACCAGGGTTTGGGAGGTGGCGCGAAATGGATTTCGTGCATCCATAGTAGGTTTGTCTCGAAACTGGGAGCTGAATGGGTATGTGTGTTGTTTTGAGGGTATCCTGAATCCTGGGATGCCCCTTTTTGTGGAAAACCGCAAGGAAAACCGAAACCCATTTTGGGGGTCCGGCAGCTACCCTCCCAACGTTTCCATGGAACCTCCATCGGTCCTGGAAGAACATGTTGGCTTAACAGGGGGTGAGTTTTATGTTAGTGGACCAGAGGGCAAACTGGCACTGGGGGACATTCCGGTCAATCACATTTCGTTTAGGGGAATTTCAAAATTGCGGCAATATAGCTCCCAGTAATCAGAAAACAGCCATGCACAAAAAAAGGTTGGCTCTCCTTTGGCTGCCCTTGGGTTCGCCCTGATCCCGCTTTCTCATTTACCTACCTGGTAAGCAATCAAGGGGAGTCCCACTGTTCACCCACTGAAAGGAACATGGCGAAGGGGTACCTACTATTGCAGCAACTGGAATCCGTGAGTTTTGCTTTCAACTGCCGCAACCCCCCAAGTGGTTCGTGTGTTCCATCTTGCACAAACCCTGAAACGGGGTATCCCCCAACCAACAACATACCCAGACCCTGAAGCGTTGAACAAGCATGAACAAGAATATTTCCGATCCTGACAACTTCCCTACACTCAGCCCAGACCCTTCTGTCAATCCCATCAACCCACAAAGGAATGTATCTGTGATATCATTTCACTGTTCCCATTCCCGTGGCCACTAAGCCCAGTGCTTCCAATTACCGGTACAATGGGCAACCAGGGTTTTGTTTACATCTTTGGGTCTTACAGTCTTACATGGTACTTTCCCTCTGATTGCCTTTGTAACTGGAAGCATCGTGGCAAATCTATGCATCACTTCGAAGCGGAGTCGGATTGGCCACTCACAGGGTGTGTCCTCTTTTATGGGACCCTCATGGTGGTTACGTCCTTTTGGCGTTCCTTTTAAACTAAAGGAGACCTCCGAAAGCCGAAGGGATCCCCAAGTACCAGGCGATGCCTCGACCGTCTTGTCGTTCAGGCCCAGGTTCAGTACCTCACGGTTCGGGCACAAGCTTGAGCCTGACTCGACTCTGACTCGGGCCAAAAACGTGGAAACACAATTCAGGTAAGGGCTCCAGACTCACCGGTAAGTTGGATCGGTTAGACTCACCGAAACGGTTTCATCGGGCTCCCAAGATCTCCCACGTGTTAAGTTGTAGGATATCAATAAGCCTTTAGCAGTAAGGCTCACTTCAGCTTCCTTCTAATAGGTGGTCGGGGGGTGGTTTCCCATTGAGCCCATCTAAGAATCAGGGTTCAAATAGCCAAACCACCAATCCAAACCACAAAATAAGGGTGGCCTGATCACTTGCAATCAAAGGATGGGAAAGCAAACGTGCCCTTGAAAATGAACCAGAAGGGGATCCCCTGAAGGATGGTTCACTTCGGGGTCTTTCCCACTAAGGGAACCCGGTATTCATTTTCATCCCTGCCCTTTTTGGTGAGAGTTCAACCCACTTTTGGAGGGTCCCCCACCTCCCTTCCAGCCAGCTGGGAAACCAAAAGACCTTGCCAGGGCACTGTGTCCATCATGCCCGGCATGGAGGCTCGCGCGCCCGAGCGCACCGACACGAGCAATGGGTTGGACGGGTCTCCGAACCTGCGCCCCGCACGCTGCTCCACTAGCCGCAGCGCCTGAGTCAAAGGACCCACACCCAGCCCCAAGGGTCGAACGATTTGGGGAAGGGGAGGCTATTGAGGGCTTCGAAAGGCCCCTGAAGCCAATGGTTTAACAAGCCTCAGGGGGCAGTAGGCCGACTTGGGCTCTGGTTGGCGGGTCCTAAAGTGGAAGTCATAACCCTGCTGTGCAGCTGCCACAGGGAGATTGTGTTTCCCCCAAAATACTACTGATTGCATGGGGCCATGTTGACCTGCAAGAAAGTACACCTTTTTGTCGGCTGACTTACTTGGCGGCTGAATTTACGACACTTCTGAATGGTTGAAACCCCGATGCCTCCAGGCAGTCCGCCACTATGGCAACGGTGGCTAGTTGTTGTTTCTAAACCTAACGCGGCGAAACGCCACTGCACGGGTGCCTATCAACGCAAAGGTGCCCCCCCAAATGAAGGTTTCCCTTGCACTGGGCCTTTTATTGAGTTTGAATGCTCACAACAGGTTTCTATGTTTCTGGCTTGTGGGGAGTCTTCGTGTGTTTGCTCTTAATAAAAGAAACAGACAATAAAACCGCGCATACCAAGATGGGACAACACCCAAGAAATAAATAAATATCGGCACACTGCCAGAGCGGCCTCCGCAACCTGCTCCTTCAAATCGTCCGGGTACAAGCAGTCGTGCTTGTAGAAGTGGGTGCACACCTCGCAGTGACCCAACCGAACTGCGAGCCTCCTCCTAACAAATGATGTTTGATGATGTTTGATGCAGTTGGTGCTGGGATCGTCATCTAAAACGGGGACGAATTCCCTGCCCTAGCAGGCTCCCCGCAAAAACATGCGGGAACCCGGCTTCCTAGGCACCCGAAACCATCTTGTCCAAACTTGCTAGACTGTCGCTTTAATCAAGGCAGGAAGTGCGTAAGAAGTGGCTGATGGTGTCCTTTGCAATTATGATTTTTGGTGGTTTACTTTGTCTAGGTCCTCCAGTGCAAAGGTCAGAATAAGGGTATTCTTTTTATCTGTAGTCTATTTTAGAAGGGGAACCCTCCCCCAAGAAAGGGGTGAGAAAGGGCGCCCAGCTTGGGGACCTGGTTGTGGTTTCTTCTTCTGCCCTTCCCACAAACCCTCCACAGAATTTTCCGTTTCGCACCTCCGTGGTCAAGGTGAAGCCCGGCGGCACCGGCAGCCCGATGGCCGCCATCTCCGCCAAGTTGGCGCCCTTGCCGCCCAGCAGGTCCTTCATCCCTGCCCGGCCGTCCGCCTCACAGAAAACCAAAACACGTCCTGGACTCTTTGCTGGCGATTCCCCCCGAAAGGCGTTGAACTGTTTGTGGGTTAGGTCCCACGCACTCCCGGGCCAATCCTGGGTTGCCAGCACCCCGCCATAGTGGCAGATGACGGCAAACTCTGTGGGTTAGGGGGGACAAACACATTCCCTCAAACAGTTCAAAGGGTAAAGTTCCAAACAATCAACAGCCAAGATGGGAGGCTGGAATCTCTCCGAGCTCCTTCTGTGCTTCTTACGTATTCCTTGTGCCCCGTCTATCTACCAAATGGTTAGATAGCTGGTTGAAATGCTGGGAGGACATGTGTGCGTACATCTCTATATATATATATAGCCGGCTGGGTGGCACTTGAACGGCCGCAACTCTTGTTTTCACTTTCGTTAAGCTTACCATACGTATGCTGCAGCACTTTCGCCGCCTCCACCCAACGATCCACTGGCCCAACACCCACAAACCTATATATACATTATGTGTTTTTTTTTTAAAAGAAAAAAGAAATAAAGTATGTAATTACAAAAAAAGGCTCACTCTGATTTAAGTGCATGTATTACATCGCAAGTGCCACGAAGAACAACTCAGCACGCCGACCCCTTTTCCTTATTGAACCAACCCTTTTTGAGCCATTGGCCATCTTAACACACTTGGTGGACACAAGATAATGCTGGCGGTCTGCAACGGAGAATTTGGAAAAAGATGCACATCTCTCTCAGCTTTCTGCGGCGACAGCTTGCCATCAGCGCTCAGCATAAGGATTCCCTTGTTGAGTGTCCGTCACAAATTGCACAGGCACACTCCTGTGGAGGAATGCCCTGTGCTCAACGAAACCTACAAGCTGAAATCTCTCTGCATGCCCCGGGGTGTTACATCATACGTATACACTTTTCTGCTTTGGGAAGCATTATGCTCCCCATGCCCGTTGTATACCCCACCGAAAACGCACCCAGGCAACGAGTAAGTTATGCACCTTGCTTCAAGAGCGCGTTTGGTTTGGTAGTTTAAGGGCGTGTTTGAATGGATTGTCTGCAGGTGTGGAATTTATATACCATGTATATGAGGGGCCCAAAATGGCGCAAACAGCTTCCTTGCAGAACTGGTGAGTAACCTCCGCCCCACCTGAACATGCCCTCGACTGGATACCATGTCTTTACACATGCATATGTGAATGTTATGCTTGTATGTGTAGATGCGCGCGTTCTTCTTTGTTGAAAGCCTTTGAGGTCAGCCAATGACTACTGAGGCCACCAAAAGGCTCCAGCCCGGAAACAATCCAAGCCGCGTACACGCGGAAAAAACTCGCCAAGTAAAGCTTTCGTGGCCTTGCGCCGCCACGTGTGTTCCTTACACGGAGCCCTTATGGCCACTTCAATCGCACAGCTCGGTTTGAAGCCTGCTGTATAGCCTTCGGGCTCCCGCCTCGCCGGCGCCAAAGTTGTAGACCCACTTCATCGGTGAAGTTCACAGCAAGTGGGTCAGTTCCGGGCCACGGATGGTATCTCCAAGGCGCAAGTCTCCTGTCTCTCTCTCTCTATTTTTCTCTCTTTTCCCTCTCTCTCTCAAGCGGTAAGCTGCAAAGGCCGAAACGGCTGAATGGCATGGTCAAGCAAGAACTTGTCACACACCAAACCTCCGAACCCACCTGACAAAGCTTCGAGCTCAGCCGCGCAACTCCTCCCAAGACCCGGAGCTCACTGAGGCGTGCTTTAATTATTCCAATTTGACCAGTGCTCGAAGACTCTCTTTCACGGTGGAACATTTACCCTGTGGAAAAGGAAGGCAAACAAAAACAAATACCAACTGTCCAGCATCTCGCGTGTGCTTGAGACATATCGCGCTGCATGGAGTGGGATGCTGATGGTGATAAGGCCCCCCCGAAGTCAATGGTCGATTCCTGTTGGTTTCCCTGTTGCCCAAGGGGGCTTCCCCAAAAGAAACACGCAGCCAAACACGCAGCCAGCAGTTTTACTCGAGGGATCGTCGCATTCAACTGGGGCTCAACAAGCCACTAGGGATCCCATGACCATGCGCTCCGTAAGTAATTTACCAACTGCGCATGTCCGTGACACAGAGTGTCCGCCAGGCACTCTACGGAACCGCGCTCCAGGCAACAGAGAGTTCAAGTCAACCAATGACTCGGTCTGCCCCCTTCGCCGCATTGAGCATCTGCCTCACGTTCGCCCCATACAAATGTAAGTATTCAATAGAGGCAACGGACAACACGCGACACCGTCTCCGTTTTGGCTTCGTTGGGTTACAAGCCACCTCCCCTTTAAGATTCAATATTATGATTAATTAATGCCCAGCTAGCCAGGTAGGACGACCCCGGGTTTGTTGTCGGACTGGGGGGGAATCGACAACTGGAGCCCTGACCCAACCCGCTCTTGCCCCAGAGCGCGCCTTTGAGGGCGATGCTGGAGTGGAGTTGCCGGTGCTAATGCGGCTCATCTGACGGACGATCGGTTTGTGGATACGGTTTCCTGCGCAATCGCTTCCTATTGAGACCCCCCCTCCCCTGTTAATGAGTAATATTGTTTGGGAACACATGTTTACATATATAAGGTCCTCGGCGTCTCAGGGGTGTTCCACTACCGACCTCTCCCAAATAATGTCCCCCCTTTGCCGCAACATCAAATCCTCAGGCAAGGAATTTATATGGAATTGCTCGAAGCACTGTTTGGATCTGTCAAATCAAACTTAAAAGGACAAATTGAAAATCACATATTTAGAATGTGCTGTGTAAATTTAAAAGAAGGGATTTGCTGAAGTGCCCCCAACAACGGCTGTGAGAAGCCTAGTATATTAGTTCATGATTGGGATAATGCAAAGTGAAAAGGGGGGGAAGTCGCTTTTTGATTTTGGCATGAAAACAAAATACGGGTGGATTTCATAGGGGATAGTGACTGGCAGCTCCAGGGCACCTTGGGTAAAGGGCAGCCTTGTGGCCAACCAAGAGAAATAGTTGCCTCTGAAAATAGTGGACCCCCCCCCCCAAACGAATAAAAAGAAAGCAACAAATAGTTTGCTTGTTGGTGTCTCCCAAAAACAAAGCAAAAGGGGCTCGCATTTTTGGATAGCACGCAAATCAAGGAGGCCCCTAAAGCTAGAAGGGAAGCTGAAAGGACAAAGACCGATCAAAGTGGCAACGGTAGGTCTGAGAGCGCTAATCAAAAAAAAGAAACATCAACAGGAGCCTTTGGATTTTGAGTCGCCGCCAGCTGACGGGGAGTTCCTCTGTAAAACGCTGCGGGCACCTGCAGATTTGCCAAGACACCTGCCAAATATGGCTGTGGGTCAAAAAATCGTACCAAGAATGGATCCCTGGTAAATGGAACCAAAGACTAAAACCTGCGATCCCTGGTCGTTGTATTTTGACCCATATCCATATAGACTTCGTGCTGGTCACACTCCTTTGCATTTGTTTTTCTTTTACGTCGATCCCAAGCAAGATGGTAGGAGTCTCGAAAGGCCCCAGCAACTTGGGTTCCGAATTGTTAGTTCGGTGAGAATTGGGCCACCCATGCTGCGCAGTCTGTGTGGCATAACCGAACATTCAGGGTCTCCTTTTGAGGGACCTCTGTTTTGGGTTCACTCCAATTTGCATGGGAGGAAGTTTCTCAACTAGGCAACCCCTTTGTATGGTAGTTTCCTTTTGCTTGACCCTCGATCCGATCTCAAAAGGGGTGGCATATGCATACTGCCAATATTATCACCAGAAACCGACAGCGGTCTGCCCAAAGCCGATACCCATGCACCCAAAAAGCCGGCAGTTGGGAAAACAAATTAGCGGGGATACGGGGGAAGCGGGGATGTGCGAGGACTCTCTGTGAAGGAAACCATGTCTAAATATTACCTGAAACATATGCCCACATCCCTGCTTCCCCTGCATCCCTGCTTGTTTGTTTGTCTCACAGAGGAGCTCACCAAAGACTGATTCAATCATCAAGCCAAACGACACGAGCTTCTTGCAGGCCCAGCAAGGGCGCTCTTCGGCATCGCAAACACGCCCCCTTCCCCGTAGATCGGGAGCGGCCGCGTGAGAAAGGGCAAGGTGGTGGCAGACCAATTTGCCCATGGCCCAGCCACTTGCAAAAGTGAAATCGTCATTGCTTGGCGCCCCTCATCAAAGTCGTGGCCGTTTTGCGACATTGTGTTGGTAGCGGAACCCGGGTCGAGCAAAGAGTCGTCTCACAGCTCTTTTTACATACCCAGCTGGATAGGTGATTTCCCATCATCTCCTGAATCTTGTCTAAATCACATCTTCAGCCAAACTAGCCCAGGGCATGCAACAAGGGATGCGAAAAAGCTCCAAGAGCCAAAATATTGTCCGTTCTCTTCTGAAACGGTTGCTTAAAATATCCTAAACATTCCAGGACCATCTCTACCCCCGAGTTCGCAGGACTTTCGATCATTGCACAGCAGTCACAACTTGATTCTTCAAGAGGGCATGGACAACTTCGTGAGTCCTGCTTTCTTCTGGGAGCTTTTGTGAGTTCCTAAGAATTTTGACCGAACCCTTTGTTAGGGTTGGTTTAAAGGATAACAGAAAGGACAATTGATACCCCCAGATCCCTGCTGAAAGCTGACAACCAAACATCCACCGACTCGCCGCTGAGCTGCCCCGCTAGCCAACGACTCCGTGAAGGGCTGGCGCCCACTAAGCACCTACCGCGCGGCATAAGAAGTCAAATTCGAGTTATCTCATTTGCTGAGACTGGCCAAAAAGTCTTACCCGTTTGTTCAAAATTGCCCGAACAGTCCAAGCTTGTCGTCTGCCACGAAAATGATCTTCCCAAACGCTGTGAAAGTCCGTCAGACTTCTTGGTTGCCACTATGATCTTCCCAAGTTGAAAGCCCATGAGCTCAGGCAGTGAGTTAGAGGGCTGTAAGTTCAAGATTCGGATGGGAAAGATTGGAAAATCACATCTCCGACTGCAGGAGCACTGTACAACCGCCCTGAAGCAATGACCCGAAGCAATGACTACACCTGCGATTACACCCTAGTGAACTTGTCTGAAATCTAGACCCACATCTGGGGTACTCCAAAAATAAGCTTGTCTGATTCAGTCTGCCCCAAAGGGTCGTGAGCACTACCTGCGATGCCGGCCTTGATCTTCCAGGACCCTGAAAAAGCAGGCCTTTGGCTGATGTTCCTTTTTCAACCAAGAGCAAAATCCAGAAGGACCCTGTTTTTTTGCGGGCTTTTGGAAGACCAAGGCCAAGGCTTCGTCGCTTCGGCTTCGTCGTGACGTCTGGGGCCCGGCGCTTCCAAAAGTTCTCCTCGCACTCCGAGAAGGCCTCGCTGGGCGTGCCCGTGGTCGTGGGCGATGCCTGCAGCGAAGGGTCCGGCCCATGGAGACCACAAGTCCGGCGAACGGGAAACCAATGGGAAAACCGTTGTGCCCATTTTGGGGGGCTTTTCACGAGATTCCAAGTGGGCGCGGCATGTCTTACTTTGAATAGTTGGTCTCGTTTGAAAGGGAAACCAAAAAGAGACATTAAGGAACCCACCCATTTTGGGGTTCCCCTATTCTTCAGAAGCCAAGTGCTCAACCTTTTTTTAACAACAAGACCTGATTCGGCACCCAAAGACAAAGCCACAGGAAGCTGTTTGAGCAGTGGTTCAAACAGCCTGCCTCCAGGCAACCCGCTACTAGTGGGTAAGAGTCTTCCTTTTTTAATGTGATGGTTTCCCACGAATGCTAAATGGAAGCACTGGGTTTTCTGGGGGGTTGAAGGCTTGGACGGCAGCTCGCCTAGTTTCCGAAACAGACGTGGCTCCGCCCTTGGGACGGATTCAGTTGCCAGGTTTAAGCCGAAGGGGTCCGGGCCCTCCAAATACCATTCTCACCCGAACCAAGGCCTAAGCTAAAATAAGCCATGGCATGCCATGGCAAATCATGACAAGACACCTTCGACTGGCCGAGAAAAAGAAGAAAAAGACAGAACAAACGCATGCAAGGACTCCTACCGGATGACTGCCCCGCTTCATATATTGGTTGGCATCCCCAGTTCATAAGTCACCCAAGTAGGATGTATCCGACACATCACCCACCTAGGGGACTTGTCAACTGGGGGCACTGACCACCTACGAAGTGGCAAACAACGGAGGACAGCTGAGAGCTAAACCCTTGCAACGCTCCAACGCCGTCAGTTCCTGATCTGACTGGTGTTGCCATGCTCTTCATTTCGCGTTTGAGGCCGGAGGCCCCCTGACGCGGAGCATTTTGACCATTGAAAGTACAACTTAAGGTCAAAATCAAAGGTTGCATGGCATGGGGGCCGTTTTCTCCAAAACAGACAACCTTTTCCCAGACAAAACAGGAAACCGGTTGGCCTCCAAACACAACCCTTTGAACGCTGAAGGATGAACAGCAATGCCGTTTCAACCAGTCTCACAGGACTTTCTCCGCATTCCCAATGATTCAGGGAAGCGAGCGCCGCCCGAAGTTGTAGCTGCCAGGCAACATTCCCTCGCGATGGAGACCCCACCTTCGCAGCCGCTTGCGGCATCGCCGACACCGCCGGACGATCAATTCACTGCGGGAAGCTCGCTGCAGGACGCTCTAAGGAACAGGGAACCAGAAAAGCTGGCGCGAGTTAAGTTTGGCAAACAAAACGCGAGCAGCACGCAAGCCATGGGGAGAGTCAGACGTCAAGTCTGCGAAGTGTGGCTTTGTGATCATTCTTCGTGGCCAAAGCAAAGCGGAGAAAAAAGGGTATTTCTCAGCCCAGTC